CCAGTGGTTTGTTGTGGGCTCCGCCTGCCCAGCTGCCACAGCCTGTGAGCTGCTGGCTGGGGTTTGCAGGAAAAACACTGCAGTGTTGTTCAGTGACACCAGAGGGGACCCGTGTCTTGGATTTCCCCGGGGCGGAAGGTTTATTCGGTACGTGCAGCGCATCACAGCCGAGGGGTGCTCCCACTCACTGCTCGGGGTCTTACGAGGACTCAGACCACCAGCACGCTCCAGGCTGGTTGCATCCGTGGTTCTCTGGGTAATTTTTACATCTGAGTGACTTGTCCTGATGCCATGGGAGCAGCTCTCAGTGCCCAGCTAAGCCAGCTCTGCAGGCAGGGAGGCTCCATCCCCGGTGGCACCTCCAGGAGGACAAGCATTGATGTGCAGGGCAGGACCGACGAAGAAACCTCCACCACCGTACTGACCTACAGGTTTCACGGCATGATCCTCAGGCTCAGGTCCCACCTACAGCCCATCCAACAGCTAAACTGGCAGCAGAGGGCTCCTGAGCCCCCAGTCACTGCTGTCTGGGGATGAGGGGAGGTTAAACTATTTTGCTTGGCAGTTGGTAAGCTCCTGGCTCAGGTGGAGCAGCAGGATGTCTAGCCTTGGCAAGGTGGGAGGACTTATGATCTCGAAATCGCTGCCCCTTCATCACTTTTCTTTTCTCCTAAAGGTGAAAGCCACAGATGCTGATGAAGGTGTTAACGGGAGAGTGTGGTACAGGATTGTCAAGGGTGAGTCCAGGCGCCTCTTCCATCCTTTTGCACTTCACAGCCTGCAGAAACATTTCTGCCATCCCTGAGCAAAATTTCAGCCTCAGGGTTAATTGCCAGGGGGATTTGTCACGGGTGGACACCTAGATGCTGTAGCTCCTGGCATGGCCAGGGGTAAACCCTGATGTAGCTGACCCTGATGTAGCTGGAGGTGATGGGACTTGGGTTTTGCCGCTGTCTTCCTCTGAGATTGCCCCCCAGGGAGGGGCTCAGCTTGTCACCAGAATGGATGCGGCGGTGATGGGCAGCAGCATCCATCTGGCTTTTCCTCTCGCCAGGCAACGAGCACAACCACTTCCGCATCAACCCCAGCACCGGGCTGGTGATGCGGGGCGTGCGGCACCTCGACCGGGAGCAGAATTCTTCTCACGTCCTGGAGGTGGAGGCCTACAACATGGAGCAGGGACCCATGAGGAGCTCTGTGCGGGTGAGGACCTTGCGGCGGCTGCCGAGGCGTGGGCAGCGGGGCTGGGCGGCGGCAGAGTTTTGTGCAGAAAATTCAGGATGCTTCATCAGCGGGCAGTCGTTTCCAGCCCTTGCGTGTAGGAAATTGGAGAAGTCTGGTGTGGCAATGCTGACGGAAAGTCTCCAAGGGCTGCCCGTGGGCGGAAGAGAGCTTGTTGAGGGGAGGCGAGGAGGAGCGTTTGTTGGTTTTTCCCTTTCTCCTGCGATGTTTCAGTGCCATGAGGCTGCTAAACGGTGGGGTAGTTGCTGTCAGAGGGAGTCCTACTCGCCCAGCGAGACGCAGCTCTGGTACCAGGAGGAAGAGTTGTTGGAAACCGTGTCTCCTGGCCAGGCATCTATTTAAATAAGCCAGGACCCAATGACAATGATCTTTAGCAGTGACAGACCAGCTTCCCACAGTTCCCAGGAGCCCGGCCCTCTGGTCTCATCTATTTTTAGACCCACTGGTGGGGTGGGCTCTGGCTGAGCGCGACATGCCCGCAGCACCAGCAGCGAGCAGAAAACCAGGAGGAGAAAGGATGGTTCCCTGGAGAAAACAGCAGCTCGACCCACTGAACTTTGAGCAAAATTTCCCACCGAGTCATCTGCGTTTCTATGCTGCGCGGTCTCCGACTGGTGAGGTTTCAAGGAGGGATCCCAAAGCATGGAGGAATTAACAGACAGACTGTACATCCCTCCAGTCAGGGAGGGACTGAGTTGCTTCAACCACAAGGCTTCTTTAAACCCATGATGATAAAGTGCATGTGTTCACTCTCCATCACATCACGTCTGTAGTCGTGATAACATTTCTCCCATGCAGCCGATGAGTGTTGTGAAGGATTTGTTTCCCCTCACAAGTACAGGCAATGAGGGTTCATGAGCCTGCCCAGCTCACCTGTGATTTCTCTGGGGGTGTTTCGCAGGTGATTGTCTACGTGGAAGATGTCAACGACGAGGTGCCGGTGTTCACCCAGCGGCAGTACAACCGCCTGGGGCTGCGGGAGACGGCGGGGATAGGGACTTCGGTGGCAGTGGTCCGGGCCACTGATCGAGACACAGGTAGGAAATTGGAGAAACACCCAGCTTTAGGGAGGAAAGTGGTGAAATTGGCCATTGCACAGCTCCCGGCTTGGCTGGGATGGGCTCTGCTCCATGGCTGGGGTCAGCATCAGCGACGCCTGCCTTGTTGAGATGCTTGGTCCAACCAGCTTGTGGTTCCTGCCCCAGGGAACGGTGGTCTGGTGAACTACAAAATCTTGTCGGGTGCTGAAGGGAAGTTTGAGATCGACGAGAGCACTGGCCTCATCACCACGATTGAGTACCTGGACTATGAGACCAAAACCAGCTACCTGATGAATGTCTCTGCCACGGACCAGGCACCCCCCAACAACCAAGGCTTCTGCAGCGTGTACGTCAGCCTGCTGAATGAGCTGGACGAGGCTGTGCAGTTCTCCAACAGCAGCTACGAGGCCGTGATCATGGAGAACATTCCCCTGGGCTCCGAGGTGCTCCGGGTTCAGGCCCGCTCCATTGACAACCTCAACCAGATCACCTACAAGTTTGACCCCAACACCAACGCCCAGGCGCTCTCCCTCTTCAAAATCAACGGGATCACCGTAAGCGACCACAGCGACCACATGGTCCTTCCTGGCTTGCTTGGCCACCAAAGCCTTGGTGGCCAACACAGCTGTTGTTCATCCTTGGCAGGGTGTGATCACGGTCAAAGGCCAGGTGGATAGAGAGAAAGGGGACTTCTATACCTTGACGGTGGTGGCTGATGATGGAGGACCCAAGATTGATTCCACGGTGGTGAGTAGCTTCTACCCACTTCCCCACCAACCTCTGTGCGGGCAGAGCTCACCTCAGGTCACTCCCCTATTCCTCTGCCATGGGACAGCACGTCCTAATTGTCCTCTTTTCCCTGGTCGCTGGGGTCTGGAAACCTTCATTTGGGGGAAACTCTGTATTTGCATAAGCAGGGACGTAGCGGTTTTAACTTCTGCGTGTCATAGGATGGGATTTATGGGTATAACAACAAGCAAAAAACCTCAAACAGTAGAGTTTGCAGGTTGCTTGCCAAGGTAAAATAGTTTTGAAGGAGGTAAATTTGGGGGGGGGAGGGCCTTGAAATCCTTCAGGGTGGTTTATGTTTAGGAGGGTTATATTTGGCAGTTTCAAAAGCAGCTGAGCAGGGGGCTGATTTGCATTTCTCTGCCGGGTGCAGAGTGAGCCTGGTCCCCTGTGCTGTGGCGAGCATCACCTGGCAATACCCAAATTCTGCTGGTTTGGGTCGCCTGGAGGAGCAGGTGCCTGGGAAGGGACAGGGGGGTGGGTTTGAAACCGGAGGGTGAGCAGTAGCAACGTGCAGCATTTCCAGCCCTCTTGCGTCTCGGCGTGTCCTGACCAAGGGTGCCACGACAGCGAGGATCCCCTGACTGCAAGGCTTGCCCGCAGCCCCTCACCTGTGCCACACCTCCTCACGCGCCACTAACTCCTGTTTCTTTGTTTTCTCTGTTTCCTCCAACAGAAGGTAAGCGTGTCCATCATGCTGGCAGCTTCTTGGGGGCCAGGATCTCAAACCCCTCACCGAGCTGCTGGGAGGGACTGGGGTGGAGGTCTCCAGCTCCATCTCACCAACCACCCCATTCTGGCGAGGAGAAATCTCAACGCCCCTGACCTGGCACTTGGGACAGCAGCTGCCGGATCCATCGCAGCAGCTGAATGGGCTCTCGGCCCCGGTTTTAATTCAGCAGCAACAATAACCGAATCGCCCTGAGGGGGCACAACTCGCTCCCCGGTTTCCTTCGGGATGTTGTCGCATTCATGCTTGGACGCACCTGGGGGCTCAGGACACCCATAAATAGAGCCCCGGGAACAGAAAGGCTCTTCCTCTCTCATTTCTGCACCACATTGCCATGATGACAAACACGATGAGAGTATTTCCTCTGGCTGATTGTGGCCAGGTCCCCCGCAGCGGTGTGTCCCTCCGAGCATCTCCTGACCGGTCTCTCCTTCACCCATGTGCCTTTTCACAGGAGGGAGCTCGAGTCCTCGCCATGCCCTGGTGTAGTTAAGCACACGCAGCTCTGTCTTCTTCGTGCCCCTTTGGCTTTAAAGCAAACTCTGCCCAACCTCTCGTGCTGTGAGCACAGATGAAATCGCTGCTTGCAAAAAGCTGAGCAGGAAAAGGTCACCCTGCAGCAGCCTGAGGTGCTCACTGCCCAGCGATAAAAAAATCAGAGGATGCTTGACACGTTCTTTCTCCAGCCTTTAAGCATCCTTCCTCCTCCACTGCAGACGAGGATGTGGCTTCGGGTCCAGGGTTAAAATACCTGTGCCCATTCCCATGTGAGATGGACAGCCCTCGCCACTGTTGGCACCTCAGAGGGTTTGACAGGGTGGGAGGGTTCAACGTGGCTGTTGATGCTGGGTGGGCAGGGGACTGAGTCCTGCCTATGCCCTGCCTGAGCCCTGTGCCGTGCCCGCAGGTGACCATCACAGTCCTGGACGAGAACGACAACAGCCCCCAGTTCGACATCACCTCCGACTCGTCCGTGAGCGTGGCGGAGGACAGCGCCGTCGGGAAGCGGGTGGCCGTGGTCCTGGCCCGCGACCCGGATGCGGGCAGCAACGGGCAGGTAGGGAGGTCGGCACAGCGGATTTGGGGATGCCCGTAAGGATGCAGAAAAGCCTCCATCAGCATCTTGCCAAGCTCTGATCATCGATGCCGGCAGGTTTGGGGGGGTTTGTGCAGTGGGTACCAGAGGTCCCTGGTTGAGGGGTGCAGCAGGAGAGGAAAAACATTGTCCTTGGGCTGACCAGGGCAAAGAGCTCTGCGGGACACGTGTCAAAAAGGAACCTGGCAATGTGAAAACCAGCTGCAGCCTCTCCCGCCGTGGTGAACGGCAGCGGAGCCTTTGGCAGGCTGGGCAGGAAGCTCTCAGATGTTTGTTATTTTCTTTACCCCGCGGACAGGCTTTAATGAGGTCCCCTAATACGGAAAATCCCGAGCATTGTACGAAGGCTGTCGATGAGACCGGGGTTGGCCCTTGGGTGTTTGCTTTGGGTTGGCTGCACTAAGCCAGCACACCCATGGACCTCAACACTTTTAAAAATGTTGGAGACTGCCTGAGGCAACCCTGTGTTTGTTACTGTAGGGTCTCCTTTCTCTCCTTCCTCCTCACAGCATCACATTGCCTGTCCTGGGGTTTTTTTGTTGGGTTTTTTTTTACCCCCGATGTTTCCAGGTGACTTTTTCGCTGACGTCAGGGAACATTGGCCGGGCTTTCGAGATCCATACCACCAACGACACCTACGGGGAGGTGTTTGTGGCACGCCCGCTGGATCGGGAGCTGCTGGATCATTACACTTTACGGGTAAGCAGCAAACCACTCCGTTCACCTCCTTGGGTTTCTCCTGGCTTGACCATCCAGGCTGTTTTCTTGGGATTGTGAGCTTGAAAATTTATTTTTTTAATGAAAACTCATCCCCAACTGCAGATTCAAGCCTCAGATGGCGGTGTGCCTCCCCGGAGGAAGGAGCACACCCTGCGAGTGAACATCCTCGACGTCAATGACAACCCCCCCATCATCGACAGCCGCTTCGGCTACAACGTGAGCGTGAGCGAGGTGAGCAACCAGCCCTGCTCCTCTCCTTCCATCCTCCCCAGGCGAGGTCTGACCACCAACTCCATCGTCCCCACTTGCCTTGTAGTGAGACCTCACCCCAGGTGATTTTAGGCTTGATGGCCCTTTGCAGACCTCACTTAGGGTTGGTGGCCTCTTGCAAACCTCACCTCAAGTGATTTAAGGGGGTTGTTTGCCCCTTGCAAGCCCTCACCTGTGATGGTTTTGGGCTAGGAGAGAGCTCTGCAAGCAACTTCAACCCCATGAGGCTGCAGGGACTAGCAGGAAGAAATGACTACACACCCATGGAAATGCCACCGAAGTGACACAAGAGGCAGCACGGTGCAGAATAGGAATTGCTTTCAGGAAGCAGCTCGGCGAGAGCTGGATAATTAAGCAATAAAACACAATCAGGCGTGAGAAAAGACAACTTATTTCCTGACAGTTTAATTCCTGGTCCAGGAGGGTTCTCAATTTGATGATGAAAAATGAAATACGAGTAATAGCCAGTGACACTTAGCTGTGAGAAAGTGCTGCTCATGATTAATAGCTTTGCATTAAAGTTATTGCCCTGTTAGGATTTTCTTATCTATTTAATACATGTTCAGAGCTGGTTGAAGAATAGAATTTCTGTTTTGATTTCCCCTGTAATGGGACTATCCAAAAATAATTAGCCGAGCTCTGGAGTCCATTACACAGCCCTCACCTTTGCACGCACGATGGTTTTTACGCTCCTACAGGCTGTGCCAGCTTTCCGCCACAGGAAAATCACTGCAACAAATGGGAGATACTGTAACATAAGGAAAAAGAGGTGCAATTTCTCTTAGTAAAACACAGCTTGCAATAAGCACTGCAAAAACCAGGAGCTGGCAAAGGAGAGCAGCCTTCTGCACGGCTGCCACGTGTCGGGGCAGTGAGTCTGGAGCCTCAAGCACCGCAGTGCCTGGGAAAGAAACCTCTCTCCATTAGAATTATGTTATTAGTTGTGAGTTTTGTGTGTTAACGAGGCGCACGTGATTCATGTCTCTTACCCCTCGCAGAACGTCGGCGGTGGCACGGCGGTGGCTCAGGTACGCGCCACCGACCGGGATGTCGGCCTCAACAGCGTCCTCTCCTACTACATCACCCGCGGGAACGAGGACCTGACCTTCCGCATGGACCGCGTCACCGGCGAGATCGCCACCCGGCCCTCGCCGCCAGACCGCGAGCGGCAGAGCTTCTACAGCCTGGTGGTCACTGTCGAGGACGAGGGCAACCCCTCCTTGTCGGTGAGCCACCAAAAACGGAGCTTGTCGGGAGCGAGCGGAAGCAGGGAAGAGGCTCGGGGCACAACGTTTTGGTGACTCAGCCGTGTGGGTTGTGGCTCAGGGTCTGAATCTGCTGAGTACGGGTTTGATGCAGAACCTCCTGGTGCCGTGGGACCCTGTCTTGCAGTGGTGAGGGGAGCTGCTATCCGTAAATGCCAAAAATACCAAGAGCATCCCAATGGGCAAGTGTCTTGGCAGCTGTGGGAGTCATCGTGCCCACCAGCTCCTCGTGCTCTTAAATCTGAAAGGTGTCGGGTTGTCACTTTTCCATCCCAGGGTGGGGGGGTGGCTGGAACCACGGGTTCAGCTCACCAGGGAGCGATGTGCTTTGGAAGTGAGAAAAGCTCTGGTAACTACTGCTGTGGCCGTGGCGGTCCCTGCCATGTGAGTTTTGTGCAGTTCTTCGCTATCGTCGCTGCGGTCCAGAGTGATCCCAATGAGTGGGGTCTGGACACACTTTTGGGGGCTGATAGAAGACCTTCATCATCTTTCAGTCTGGGAAGGTGGCTATCTTGTTTTTTAGTGTGCAGGACTGCCCAGTGGGGTAACTGCAGTTCCTGCAGCCCGGCTTCTCTCCCTCGCACATTCCCTGCTCGTTATTTGTGCCTTTAAGAAGGGTTCTGGGTGTGGGAGAGTCAAGAGAGCAACTAACATCAGGGGCATTTTCCAGCCCAGAGCCCCTCCTAACCCCACAGCTCCCGGCGGGGAGGTGAGCGAGCGCCTGCGTGCATCAAACAAGCCCGAATTGTGAGGTGTGGAGGCGCGACACCGTGCCATCCTTCCTCTCCCTCGCCTCCACCCGCCATCTCTCACCATCTCTCGCCACCTCTCTCTGATCTCCTGTCAGAGCTCTCTCGCTGCAAAACCCTGCTCGACATTTTGAGGAAACAGGGTTGCAAGCGAGCAGTACGAACTGTGGCTCACAACTCTCGCTTCAGGCTTTTTGCATCCTCAGCTGCTCCCTCATGGGTAGTTCACACACCTGCTTGCATATCAGCATCTTTTTCTTAAGCCGTGCTGCTGCTTCGGCTTAAATCTCTTCCCCCAAACTGAGAGAGGGCAGCTTTGTGTAACTGCAGCACCCCATACGAAGCTCCTCCTCGTCCCCATCGCCCAGGCACCCTGATGCTGCCCCGATGAGGAATGCCATGAGCCAAATCCCATTGCCCTGGCAATGCCCTCTTCCCTTCCCGGTGCCGGGAGAGGACAAGTGACACAGCTTATCGCTCCACGCTGCCAAAATCGTCTCCCAGCAGCCTCGCTTGTCCTCAGGGTTCCTGCACCACGTCACCGGCACAAGTGATGCCAGCAGCGACGGTCAAAACCCTGCCAAACAAAGCATCCAGTGACCCAATTCTTGAGCGGAGAGAGGAGTTTTGGCCCTTTTCAGAGCTTGAGGAGGTTTAGGTCTTGTGAAAAGCTGTCCTGGCCTCAGGTCTGGGTGACAAAACAATGTGTGTCGGGAGTTTGTCACCCACAAGAAACTTTTGCAACTAAGTCCAGACTGATGGGGTGATGCACAAAAAAGGATTATTTTTTTTTTTTGTCATTCATACATCATGTGCTTCAAAATTTGGCCTTCTGCTTATGGGGGAGGAAGAGGAGACAGAACTGGGAGAGGACTTGGAAGTCTTCTGATGATCCGTGGTACCCAGGACAGCAAGGGTGCATGGAAGCCTTCTCCATAAGTGGTGGGGGCCAAGGTGGGGTGCAGCACCCAGCGTGCCAAGGCTTCTGCTCCAGCAGGTGTGGAAGGCTGGGTAGCCACCACCTCCATCCCCTAAAAACCTTGCTTTTTCCTTGTGGTGAGCTTTCCAGGTGGGAAACGATTGCTGACACCACGCGGTGCCCCAACCGTCGCCTCTGGCTGAGAACGTTGCTGCTCAGCTCACCTCTGCCCGCATCCTGAAAAAAAAATGGGATGCCCGCAGAACAGAGGGAAACCCATTCCCAGCAAAACTTTATGCCATCGTTAAGCAGCTTGTTTGTTATAATTCATTGGTGCCACCGCCTTATTTATCCCTCTGAAGTTGCCCTTGCTGAAGCCAGTGCCGGATTAATCAAATCCCGCAGCGGTCCAGGGTGTCAAGGCAAAAACCTCAAGCCAGGTAGTGTGAAAATTCAGCGTTCTGCTGGGGATTCTCTGCCCGGGCACGCTGCCTGTTATGACTATTGCTCAGGTCTGACACTGTTTTGGTATGACTAAGGTTTATGTTGGTCTAGCGGCGGTCGTTTCCCTACTTTACAGCAGAAAACAGAAGCAAGAGAACAAAACCAAATGCACGCTTTGAGTAACAGCGTCTGCCACAAAGTTTTATCTCCTCGCCGGGGGCTGAGTCACGCTGGAGCCTGACCCGCAGCTTCTTTGGGATAGGCGATGCCAGGGTGCTGCGTTTGGTGCTGTTTGGGCATCGCAGGATCCCCCAGCTTGGGGGGGACGGCTGCTCTGGCCATGGTGGCCCCAGGAGGATGGGGAATATCATGAGAACATCCTCCAACACCCTTTACATGAACCTTCTAGTTTATGGGCGTTTATTAGTTTATCCAATCAAACAAAACCCATCAACGTCCTTTTTTTTTTTCCCCCGTTTTCTTTTAATCAGCACTGATAAGGAAACAAACAGAAAGATAAATTCCCCTGATCCCAAGCCGAGGATAAAATTGCAGCAGAAAATAAGGCTCTTTCCTGACGTGCGTCCAGCTGGAAAGGCAGCAGCCTCGCAAGTCCGTGGCTGTCTCAAAAGGGTGGTGGGGAAGGAGGGCTCCGTCTGGGGCAAGGAGCCTCTCCCCTTCCTGTTTTGCAAAGAAAAAGGTAGTACGAGGTTGGCTGCTAACCCTGTTTTGTCTCGCGGTGGATAAAGTACTTTGCCATCTGCTCCAGGGGAGGACGTGCAGTCAAAGATGCAGGAACAGGTTGATGCTGCAGATCTTAAACCCCTGGCAATAAGTTAAATCCTCAGGGAGGTTTGGAGGCACAGGTCGTCCTTCCTTCCCTGCATCCCCGATTTTCAGCTAGCCCATAAAACATGAGCGATACAGTGCCATGCTCTTCTCCATAGGTAGTTAAAAACCAAAATCCTGGCAGGAGATGTTCACTTCCAGCCCCAGGGCAGAGCCAGGACAGGGTGTGAAGGCAGGACTCTGGCATTCATCTTCTGTTTTAAGGCTTTGCTGGCCTTGCCGGGGGGAGAGTCTCAGCCTGACCTCTCGCGGCTGCGGCTTCGGGATGTGGTCTCCTTCCAGGGTCTTTAGGCTTTCAAGGAATTTGGTGAGTCAGGAACAGGATCTGGAAAAGGGCAGACCAGGGGTATCAGACAAGCTTGCAGCTGCAGGGAAAGCAGCCAAACTCGGCTTTCGAGCTGAAAACTCAAGTTTGGGTCCTTCCCATCTTCAGAATCCTGGAACTTGATGTCCTAAAGTTCATGGCTGGTGTTTAACCCCTTCTTTCCCGTTCACCCCCACCCCAGCTGCCCCTTTCCTTCCCACTCCTCCCGCAGTGGGGCTCAGGATCACAGGTCACTCACCCAGCGTCGGGAAGAAGCAGTCCCCGGGGCCGGGGGGTGACAAGGGAGTGCTGGGCTCGGAAAGCAGATGCCGTCCAGATTCGGAAGGCTGCCGGCTGGCCATGTAGGAGAGCTGGGGTCGGGGTCGCGGCTCCGCGCTCGCTGAGGGGACCGCCTCAAAGACAGGGTTTTCAATGCCCTGGGCACTGCTGCGGGAAAGGAGAGGAGAGGAGGGTGTGAGGTGGCTTTGCGGTTTTGTTTCAGGAGCCTTTTTTCTCTTTTCATCCCCAAGCACTGGAAGCAACCAATGAAGGCAGGGAGCAGGTTCAGGACGTGGAATCTTGGCAGAGAGCATGCAGGGAACCCAGGGCAGGGGGAAAGGCTTAGATGAAAGGCCCCACGGTTTCGAGCTCTCTTGGGGTGTGGGGAGAAGTGTCCCCTTGGCACAGGCAAAAAGAAAGGAGTCACTTCCCATTTGGAGGGAGGGAAGAGAAACAGCGGCTGCCTGGAATTGGGCAGGACCCCAGGCGTGAGTGCCACCGGCATCCCCTTCGCTCTGCCGGACTGAGGACACAAGCTGGCTTCGAGAGCAGGGGAGGAGAGGGCAAGACCCTTGTGTGGGTGTGAGGAGGTTGGGGGGAGCTGAAAGCACGTGGGTTTCCTTACCTCTCCATCCTGACCAGCTCGTGGGCACCTGTCAACGAAAAATGGTTGGCGTGAGTGCTGGCAGCATGAAGCCCTGTGTCAAACCCAGCCAACACTGTTTTCTGGTGTCTCATCTACATCCAATTCCTCCTCTTCCTCTGCGTTCCTCCCTCCCTTTCGCCCTTCTTTAGCATCAACTTTTTCTTTGCTCCCAGACCTCCTTCTTCACGTCCCTGCCTTGTTCACTCCCCAGCAAATTGAACCTGTGGGCTCCGAAGAAAGGGCAAGGAGATGCTTCCCCTTGGGTTTTGCCTTCCCTGTGGGGTACAACAGCAACCACATGATGCTTTGCAGCACAGTGGAGGGGAGCTGCACCCCCAGCCATGGCAAAACGGATGCATGAAGGCATGCAGCCCGTTTTTTCAGCCAGGGATGGGTGTCGGAAGTGCCGTTCCCGTTCTGGTGGCTGGCATCATGCCTGCTGCTGGTTTAAAAAAAAAAAAATAATTAAAAAATAATAAAAAAAAAAGTTTGCTCAGAGCTTGGTGAGAGAAACCACAGGGCCCCCAGCTTGCCCAAGGCCTTATGAAATCGCGCCTCCGGTGAAGGTGGTGCCCCTTTCCGCTTAATTACTGAAATCACCAGGAGCTGAGCAGGGGCAGAAGCCAGCAGCTCGCTGTACCTCAGTGCTGCCTGGTTTTCTAGGGTTCTTCTAGGGCACCACAGGTAGACCTGGCTTGCTCGTTGTCCTATTTCTGTAGATGCACAAGGGGTCTTTTTAAAGCAGGGGAGGGTACATACGTCTGCTGCTGACAGCTTGC